GCCGGCACCGCTGCGACGGCAGGGCGAGGGCGGGCGGCCTGATCCCGCTCTGCGATCGCACGCCGGGTCTCGCGGGCCTCCGCGCCCAACTTTTTTTCCTCCGCTCTCGCTCCCCTCCCCTCCCCCGAAAGTCCGGGAACAAAGAGAAGGAGTCGCGGCGGCGGCGGCGGCGGCGGCGGCGGTCCGTGGGGGCGCGCAGGCGAGAGGGTAGGGCGACGCGGACCCCTCCGGGAGGGCGGCGGGGGAGGGCGGCGGGCGGGCGGGCGCGGAGCGGCGCGAGGCGCTGTCCAGGGCTGATCTGCAGATACTGTGGCTCGGGCGGCTCGGCTCGGCGGGAGGGCGGGGGCGGGATCGGGTTACCGAGCGAGCCCCGGACTGGGCCGGGGGCCGGCGCGGAGCGGCGGGGGGCCTCCGGGGCCTCGAGGAGAGCCTCCCGGGGCGGCCCTTCCGCCACGGCGCCGCGGTTCGGGGCCGCGGAGGTCGGAGCGCCGCTGCTGGTGGCCGCGGTCCTGAAACTCCCCGTCCCCGCCCTGCCCTCCGCCCCCGGGGCCCACCGCCCCCGGCCCCGCCGCTGTCCCGGCTGAGCCCGCCGCCCCCTCCCCCCAGCCCGAGCCGAGCCGAGCCGGAAGGCGGCCGCCCCGCTCGACTCAGCCCGGGGCACGGGCGGCGCCGCCGGCGGGCTGGACAGCGATTTCTGCGGCCCGCGCTGCCTCTGCGCGGCGGGGGAGCGAAGTTCGCAAACTTCCGGGCGCGGGGGCGGCGGCGGCGGCGGCGGCGGCGGCGGCGGGGCCCGCGTGGGGCTCCTCGGAGCGATCGGGCGTCCCCCCTCCGCCCCGCAGCCTCGGGAGGGCGCCGCGGAGCCCCGGTTACAGGCCCGGCCCGGACGCCGGTGGCGAGGTAACTTTCCGCCCGGTCCCGGGGCTGGCCAGCCCGCGCGGCGGGGGAGGGGGCTGCGGGGCCCGGGGCCGCGGCCGGCGGAGAGGCGCCTCCCGGGGTGGTGGGCAGCGCCCGCGGCCGGGAGCCGGGGCACCGCCCGCGGGTCGGCGGCGGGGAGGAAGCCAGAAGGGCCCAAGTTTGCAAAGAGGCTGCTTTGTGCTTGGTATTTTGAGAAAATGGCCGAATGCCTATTTCAGTTAGGAATTCCGCCGCCGAGGCCGGGCGCTAGTGGCAGCAGCACGGAGGAATTCCGTGCAACACGTTGCTGCCGGGGCCGAGCTTTGCAGGGTCTTCCCGAGAAAACGTGGAGGTTCCCCGGAATGGGGCCGCCGAGGGGCGTGGGGAGCCCTAAGGTGGATGTTGGGGCCCGTTGTGGAAACCGGTGCGGCTGTTAAACCGAGGGAGAGAGCTGTGGCCCGCTGTTTCCTGTGATGGCATTCGAGTCCCAACTTTTTGTTGGGGCATGAAGCTGAGCGAGCTTGCCTTTAGACGCTTGGCGGAACGGGTCTGCTTTTTTGTATTTTCGGTTTGAGTTTGCCTTGTAGTCTTCTTCGCTTGCTTCTTTCTGCTAGATTGCAAGAGGTACTCTGAGTACCTTGGAGGCTGGAGGTTGAGACCATTTAAAAACTCGTTTTCAAGAAGGTGATCTGTAATGGCTTCCTCTAGGCAAGTAGGCCAAGTCAAGCACAATGCGCGAAAGTTGCTGGTTGACGTGTTGAGTTGCACGGCTATTAGGGAGTTTTCAAGCAAAGAAAAAAAAAACACTTTAAAACTTCCTCTTTTGTGAGCAAAGGGATCCATAACTGCCCCTGTAAGAGTCATCAAAAATGAAGTCTGTTACTTTTTCACTGTTTATTCTTTTAGAGTTAGTTGAATTCTCAACGAAGAAATTAAACAGTCTTCCAGATTTCTTTCTGTGCTCATTATATGCACAGAGTCGCCTGTGGATTTTTAGGGTTCTCATTCAGACCACTGAACTGCCGGAAGGGAGAAGTGAGAACAATAGTTAACTATTCAGTGATTGGGTTATTAAAAGTGATTTAAGTTAACATTAAAAAATGCTAACCACCAGAAAAAGGTTGACAAACTTGCATGCCAGTGGTAGACCTAATGGATGTGAGAGTTGCATTTTTTTTTTCCTGGTTGCAGGGGAAATAGTTATTCATTTGTATGCTTTTGTGATTGCAATAAAGAGATTTGAAAATGAACAGCAAGCAGCCTTGCCCAAATCCTCCCAGTGGTAGGATTACAGGCAGGCCCCACCATACCCCACAAAAGTGTGTTTTAAAGTTGTTGTTAGAAGAAGTTAATGAAGTTCATTGAGTTTTAAAGGTTACGTTGGGAAAATGTTTGCTTTAAAAATGCATGTTTTAAAACGGTGTTTCGTTTGTTTGTTGTGCTTTATTCAGTATACAGTTATGGCCACCCAGGTGATGGGGCAGTCTTCTGGAGGAGGAAGTCTATTCAGCAACAGTGGCAACATGGGTATGGCCTTACCCAACGACATGTACGACCTCCACGACCTCTCCAAAGCTGAACTGGCTGCACCCCAGCTCATCATGTTAGCAAATGTGGCCTTGACAGGGGAAGTAAATGGCAGCTGCTGTGATTACCTGGTTGGTGAAGAAAGACAGATGGCAGAACTGATGCCTGTTGGGGACAACAACTTTTCCGATAGCGAAGGGGAAGGACTTGAGGAGTCTCCTGAATTAAAAGGCCACCCCAGTGGGCTGGAAAACATGGAACTGAGAGGTCTGGAGCTCAGTGCCGTGGAACCACAGCCTGTGTTTGAAGCATCAGCTGCCCCGGAAATGTACATTTCCAATAAAGACCTCCCCCCCGAGACCCCTGGGACAGAGGACAAATGCAAGAATTCGAAGGCCAAGCCATTTCGCTGTAAGCCATGCCAGTACGAAGCAGAGTCCGAAGAGCAGTTTGTGCACCACATCAGGGTTCACAGTGCTAAAAAGTTTTTTGTGGAAGAAAGTGCAGAGAAGCAGGCCAAAGCCAGGGAATCTGGCTCTTCCGCTGCTGAAGAGGGTGATTTCTCCAAAGGCCCGATCCGCTGTGATCGCTGTGGCTACAATACCAACCGGTATGATCACTACACTGCTCACCTAAAGCACCACACCAGAGCTGGGGATAACGAGCGCGTCTACAAGTGTATTATTTGCACATACACGACAGTGAGCGAGTATCACTGGAGGAAACACTTGAGAAACCATTTCCCAAGGAAAGTCTACACCTGTAGCAAATGCAACTATTTTTCAGACAGGAAAAATAATTATGTTCAACATGTTCGGACTCATACAGGTAAGAGAGCCTAAATTGTATTTTCCAAAATGTGACTTCTTTTAAACTTACAGATTATGTAAACTGAACACATCTAAAGATAGTCTACAGTTTCCTAAGGGGTTTGAGGGTTTAGATAGAAAAGAAAGCCTATTAGCCAGACCTGGTGGACCTTGCCTTTAATCCCATCACTCCAGAGGCAGATGGGTGGATCTCTGAGTTCAAGGCCAGCCTGATCTAGAATAGCCGGCTGCACTGAGAAACCCTGTCAAAAAAAAAAAAAAAAAAAAAAAAAAAGGGAAGACAACTGATTAACCTTGTATACTCTACTGAACAAAGCATTCAGACTTTATATCCCCATTCTTTTCTTTTTTTTTTTTTAACTTTTTAATTTTTTTTTTTGTCTTTTTAAAACAGACTCTAGCACTGTCTGTCTATATATTCATATACACTTTAAATTCTATAAATTCATATACACTTGCCTCTGCCTCCCTCCACACTGAGGATCAAAGGCTTGAACCTTTGATCAAGCTCCATATACCCAGCTCCACCTCTTCTCTTTTTGAAACAGTATCTGTAGTAGTCCAGACTGACCTTGAACCCACTAATGTGTTGCTGAGGATGCTTATTTTGAGACAGGGTTTCTCTCTGTGTAGCCCTGGGTTTCTTGGAATCACTCTGTAGACCAGGCTGCCCTCAAACTCAGAGACCAGCTGCCTCTGCCTCTGAAATGCTGAGGTTAAAGGTGTGTGCCACCAGCGCCCAGCCAGGATGTCTAAATTTTGATCTTGCTTCCGCCTGGTAAGCAGTGGGATTATAGACTGTGGTTGGTTTATGAAGTGGGGGGATAGAACACGGCCTCATGCATGCATGCTAGACGAGCACTCTTTAACTGAGGCATGCATCCCTTTCCGCTTTTCTCACTTTATGTTATGCATGTGAGTCGTTTGCCTGTGTGTAACTGCACCGTATGTGTGTGGTGCCTCTGAGAGGCTAGAAGAGGGCATTGGATACCCTGTAACTGGCATATATAGGAAGGTTGTGAGTGCCATGTGGGTGCAGAAAACTGAACCCTGGTTCTTCTGGAAGAGCAGCCTGTGTACTTTACTGTTGAGCCACCATCAGCCCAGAGTAGAAACACTGCCAATTGAAGCCATTTTCCTGAGAGCAAGCAAGCAACTGTGAGAACTACTTTTCAGAGAAACATTTGTTCAGCATATCCCAATGCATAGAGATTATGAGGAATGGCCTAGAAGTCTTAAGTCAGGAGCTTAGAAGGATAGGTTAGGAGTATAGCTCAGCTGTAAAGCCTGCATATGAGGAGGCTAACCATCTCCAGCACCAAAAAGAAAAGTTTTCAGGGGGCTGGAGAGATGGCTCGGACTAAGAACACTGGCTCTTCCAGAGGCCCGAGTTCAGTTCCCAGCACCCACATGGCAGTTTACAGTCTGTAACTCCAGTTCTAGTTCCAGGGATCCAACACTCTTAACACAGACACACAAGTAGTCAAAACATCAAGGCACATAAGATAAAAATAAATAATTTAAAGAAAAAGAGAAGTATGAAAACAAGCTTGTTTGAGACTAGGTCTTGTCCTGTAGCCCTGTTGTGGTTGTGAACTCTTGATCAGAGTTCTGGCAGTGTTAAACATTACTGGAAGATGGCTTCATGGTTTAAGAGTACTTGCTGCTCGTCCAGAGGCTCTGAATTTGATTTCCAGCATCCATGTTGGATGGTTCCAAAACCTAGCTCCAGGGGATTCCACACCCTCCTCTGGCCTGTACCTGTACTCCTGGCATATGCACATGAAAGTAAAAATAACATCAGTCTTTATGAAAATTTTGTTCTGGTTAAGAACAAAAAAGATCCAATACCAATGTCAGGAATGAGGGAGGGATTAAAGGGGCTCAAACTAGGAATCCAGATTGTCAGAGAAAATGATCAAAGGTTTAGACCCAGGGTTGGTTATTTGCTCTAAATGTATTCAGACATTACAGAGCCATTTTGTTGGTTATCAGCCCCATTTCAGAGGAGACCTGTCAGGTTGTCCAGCCAAGTATCTGGCTAATTCAGTGGAGTTTTAACTTGAAGGGCATCACTGTTAGGGGAAATAATCTGCTTTCAGACTTTTTGAGGAGAGAGAGTTGTTTCTGTTTGTTGGCTCCCCATATAGAGTGAAGATTGTGAGGAGGCACTTGATTACGCAGGGTGTGTATGCTTAGATCTAATTCTAGATGGATTGATTCTTCAGTGACTATGAGTAAATGAGAAGGTATCAGCTCTTTGAAGCCCAGGCTAGCTCTGGATTCCTGGCTGTCCTTCATTAGCCTCCAGACTGCTGATTACAGGAGTGAGGTACAAAGTGGTGTCAATTTTTTTTTCCCCAAAAAATAACCTTTTTGGTTATGGAATCAGTATACCATTTATTCTAAGTGTACAACAGTTTTTAGTCTGTTTATAGTGCCATTATCTCGATGCTTTTGTAAGACAGTCTTACCATTCCAGAGACGAAGTTATAGCCAGGTGTGGTGGCCTGCACTTTAAATGCCAACACTTGGGAGACAGGGACAGGAGGATCTCTGAGTTCAAGGCCAGCCTGGTTTGTCTATATAGTGAGTTCTGTGGATTTTGAAATTCTCTCTGGGTTTGTGACACAGCTCAGGTACAGTGTTGAGAAAGCATGTACAAGGCCCAGGGTTGGATACTAGCACTGCTCCCCTCCGTAAGTAAAAACAACCCAAACCAAGACAGACAACCAGAAAAAGAAATGCCTAGGTTATACCTGTAATGACAGCACTTGGGAAGTGGAGATCAGGAGCTCAAGGGCAGAGGCAAGCATTTGGCTTCATACACCTCATCCCAAAACCACTTAGAAGCTTAATTTCTTCCTGATTCTCCTCAGTCTCATAGTTACCTGCATCATTTGTGGTGATTGGGACCCATCCTGGACCCACTAGGACATGCTAATTGTGGAGATTTTTTTTTTTTTTTTAATTAGGCAATTAATTGTATGTATAACCTTTGTTGGCCTGATCTTCCGAGGGTATTGTTCTGTCCTTAAACTCCAAACTGTCCTTTTTGTCTTTGGATCCTGACTGCATAGATTATAGGCCTGTGCCATACTTGTTTGCTCAGTAGTAGCTGGGCCTGATGTGAATTCTAGAAGTCTTCAGGTTAACAAGCCTAGGATGATAGATGTGAGCCACAAGATCCTGGCAGCCTTGAACTCACTATCCTATTTCAGCCTCCTTATGACCAAGACAAGCAAAGCACATACTGAGGAGATGGATGGATGTAGTTTTACTTGAAGAATCATATCTTGGCTGAATATTTGACTCTATAGGGCATAGAGTATCTTCAGCATTTATCTATATCTATATCTATATCTATCTATCTATCTATCTATCTATCTATCTATCTATCTATCTATCTATTTTTTTTTTTTTTGCCAATGTCGAGAATGCTCCTTTGCACGTGTATACATACTGCAAAATTGTAGGTGTGCTTAGGGCTGTTTGACAAATTGTTGGAAATTCTGCACTGGTCTTAAGCTGAAAATTTGTTTAATGATTTTTGTTTTCTTTCCTAAACCCAAGTTTGGCTGTTGAAAATCTCAGGACACCAGAGAAACCCTCTGAGATGGGTTGGCCTGGGGATGGGGTTGAGGGTGACAGGGGACAAAGCGAAACAAGAAAAACTCATACACACAGTAGAAAAGTACCAAAAAGCTTTGGATTCTGTAATGGGACCTCCATAAGAGTAGAAACTTTGTGTACAGTAGAAAGACTGCAGTTCCTAACGTCTCTGCAGTGTGAGCTAGGGTGTTGAGGCAGGGTTACTGACCGTTGTGTATGTAAGAACTGTGCTTTGTGCATGGAGAGTCAGGGCTATAGGAGTACTTCTGGAAACCTCTCAGGTTGTATTTTATCATTAGGTAGGCCTGGCTGTCCTGGAGCTGTGCAAATCTGGCTGGCTTGGAGTTCACAGAAATTACCTGCCTCCACCTCCGTGTGCTGGGATCAGAGGCTTGTGCTCCAACACATGGTTTAGATTTTGAATTCATTTTAGTTCTTCAGAAACATTTTATTGTTACTAGTTGTTTTGGAGCCTGCAGTTTATGAAAGGACTGCTGCTTGGATCTTTCCCCATGATGAGCCAGTTGCTAAACTAAACTTCTCTGCTATCTTATCCAGATACCATATGTACCAGATATCAAAAGTTGCTGAACAACTTTCTTAAACTTTAGAGTCTAATTTGAAATATCCAAGTCTGGTGCTGGATGTGTACTGCTTGTGAGAGGACCCGAGTTCAATTCCCAGTCAGTACTCAAGGCTTCCAGCTACCTGCAGCTCTAGCTCCAGGGCAGTCTGCATGCCCACACACGGGCAACAGAGAACCTGGTCTCTGGTGAAACAACAACAAGAAATAGGCCAAGCATGGTGAAGTAGTGTGGCTTTAATCTCAGTAGAAGCAGGCAGATACCTGGGTTTGTAGTCAGCATGGCCTTTTTTTTTTTTTTTTTTTAATTTATTTATTTTTATTAAATACTGGGTTTCTGTGTATGTAGCCCTTTCTGACCTGGAGCTCAGGATCTACCACACCCAGCAGGAGCACGCTTTTTAACAGTTCCCTTTCAGGCCATTTAGGCCTTCATAGTAAGACCTCCTCAAAATTTGAACTAAAATCTTTAAAATCTTTGGTGTGGAGGCATAGGCAGGTAGAGAGCTGCAAGTGTGAGGCTATCTATATCTATGTCTTTTCTGTCTATCTGATTCCAAGGTAGCCAGGCCTACACAGTGACACCTGGCCACAAACAAAAATGGTACAGGATAAACAGGTAACAAGTGGTTCACTGTAATAGCCACGGTTCATTGGGAAGAAATCTTGGTTTATACAAATATACCCTGATACAGAATGCTGTGAGCTCTACAGTACTAAAATTAGCTAAATATGTATTTGGAGAGCTGTGGGGTTGCTGTAGAATTCAGCAGGTTTGCAGAGCTACCTGTGGTCTTTTTTCTGTAATCCCAACACTCCAGAAGCTCTGAGGCCAGGGGAATCTGTAGTTCAAGGTCATTCTTGGCTGCAAATGAAGCCCTGTCTCAGAACCAAGAAGGGGAAAATTGCTAAAGAGATGAAGTATTTTTAACATTAAATTTCATTTTGTTGATTGAAGAACAGTTCTAATAGGGAACCAAAAGAACAAGGAAAATTAGACTTCTTTCAGTCTGTCTGTCTTTTTTTCTTTCTGTCTGTCTTTCTGTTTATCTCTTTCTTTCTTTCTCTTTCTTTTTTGGTGGACATAGGGTCTATGCCTTTAATCCCAGCATTGGGAGGAAGTGGCAGGCTTGGTTTATAAGGAGTTCCAGGAGAGCCAGAGCTACATGGTGAGGCCCAGTTTTGAAAAAACAGCCAAACTACAGCAGAGATTTTAATTTTAATTATTTGTGTGTGGGGTGGAGACTGTAGTTTATGTTTCCATGGAAGTATTGTGTTCTCCACCGAATCATTATTATTTAATTTTCTCTTTGGGTGTCTCCATAGCCTTGGCTGTTTTGGAACTTGCTGTGTAAACAGGTTGCCTTCCCTTGAACTGCAGAAACTACCTGCTCTACCTCCTCAGTGCTAGCCATCATGCCTAGCACTTTAAAATTTATTTATCTATGTATTTATTTTTCAACTTTCTCTGCATTTCCATATAAGTGCAGGTGCCCTGAGGCCAGAGCCACTGACCCCCACTCCCTTTCTAAGCAGTTGTGAGCCACCTGCTGTGGGTTTTGGAAACTGAGTGTGATCTTGGAAGCAGCATGCCCACTTCCTTTGAAAAGATTAATTTTTATGTTTGTTCTTTGTGAGTATATGTTAGGTGTGTGTGGATGCCTTTGGAGAGGCTATAAGAACAGCTGAAGTTACAGGTGGTAGTGACATGGGTACTGAGAATCCAATAAATTCAGGTCCTTTTTACTGCTGAGTCATCTCTCCAGTCTTCAGGATTTTTGTTTGTTTGTTTTGTTTTGTTTTTCCAAAGACAGGGTTTCTCTGTATAACCTCGGATGTCCTGGAATTCACCAGGCTGGCCTCTAACTCAGAGATTCCCCTGCCTCTGCCTACTGGTATTAAAGGCATGCTCCACCATGCCTACCTGGCTCTGCCTGCCTTCTTTTCCTCTTTCCATCCTTTCTTCCTTCTCTTTTTCTATCATTTTTTTTTCTTTTTCAATAGGATATTGCTATATACCTCAGGCTGAACTTGAGTTCCTGTTTTAGCTCCTGGATAATGAGAGCATAATAAGCACATGTGATTGCACCATTTTAACGAGTGTATGATTAATTTACATGGGGCACTGTATTATTCGTTCTATAACTTGGAGCTTTTTAGGGAAGAGGACTAAAAGAGGAAGATGGTAGGGGTTGGTCTTGTGTATTCTGTATTCAGATGCTGATTTCTGTGTCCTGAGATCCATTTGCAGTACAGACATGGGCATTGTCATGATTATTGAAGAATTTCCTGTATTTTTGTTGAGTAAAGAATGCTCCCCAATTATCTCTGATTGGTTAATAAAGAGCTGAACAGCCAGTAACTGGGCAGAGGAGGTAGAAAGGTTGGACTTACATCTCAGTGATGGGAGAAGAGGAAGGAAGAAGAAAGAAGGCGAGAGAGAAGGCACTTGCCATTTGAGGACAAAAGAAGACCAAGGTGAGATTGAGATAGCAAGTAAGGGGAACATGCTGGGAGGTAGCTGGACTAGCATAATTGGGTTAGAATAGTTGAATATCTACCCAGTTATAGTGCTTAAAGCTTTTTGGTAAATTAAACAGCCCTATGTGTCAGTTGTTTGGGAAATAGGGCAGGTATTAAAAAGGGCTCCAACTAGTGTCTTAATTCGACAGTCTTCAGACTGTTTTCTTGATTTCTGAATGTAGGAATTGTATCATTTTGTCTATATGTTTGAATATTCAGGTCGGTTTTTTTTTTGCACTTTGGGCATTAATATCTGTTAATACCTCCCTTCCTTCCTTCCTCCCTCTGTCCCTCCCCCTCTCCCTTCGTTCCTTCTTTCCTTCCTACCTTCCTTTAGTCTCAGGTATGAAACTCAGGTTCATATGCTTGGTGGCAAGGCAAGTTAAGTGCTTTGAGTGTTCTTAACATATCTGGGCTCCTGGTGCAGGCCTGTAATTGTGGCTTTTGGGAAGCAGGCAGATCACAAGTTCAAGGCCTGTCTTGGCTGCAGAAAAAAAAATAAAGGCCACGTGGGGAACTTCCTGAGACCCTCTGTTCATGTTAGTGCTCAGTCACTGGCAACTAAGTAGCTTTAGTTATCCTCTGTACTGCCTTCTAATTCAACACTGTTTTATGTTAAGTCACTATGTGGATTTTATTATTTGTATATAGGTATTTTAGGACAAGGTGTCACCGTGTCTCCCTTGCCAGCTTGGAACTCATAGAGGCACGTGTCTTTGCCATGGAGTTTGGGATTAAACCCCATATGTATGACCCACCCCAGCCACCATGATTTTTTTTGTTTTTGTTTATTTTTTTATTTTTTGGTGTTTCAAGATATAGGGTTTCTCTGTAGCCCTGGCTGTCTTGGAACTAGCTCTGTAGACTAAGCTGGCCTGAACTCAGGAATCCATCTACCTCCACCTCCTGAGTGCTAGGAGCAAAGGTATACATGACCGCAGACTTGCCACTAGGTGAATTTTTAGCCTCAAAGAGCATGTTCAATGAAGTGTTGTTTTGCTTTGTGTGTGGGTGTGTGTGTGGGTGGTCTAAGCTAGCCTCCAATTCTTGATCCCCCTGCTTCTGCCCAGGCACCGGGATTGTAAGTGTGTACTGCCACCCTTGGCTAGAGTTGCTGCAATTAAGCCACCTATTTAAAATGGTTGCACCTTCATTAATGGACCGATTCTTTCTTGTTAGGGCTTGACCTTAGTGCTTTACGTATGCTAGGCAGGTTGTACCACTGAGGTATTTAACTTTTAGGTCAAATTCATGCCATCTGTACGAACAAATGCTAACATGTGCACTGGGCATGCATGGGCACACATGTTTAAATATATATAAGTATATTAAACTTAAAATAAGAAGCAGTCACATCAGGAAACTGTTACTGGATCAGAGCTCAGAGCTTCAAAAGCACCTAGTACAAGTTTCACTTTGAACTATATACATCCTTAGCCAAGATTTGTGATTTGGAGGTGATTTTTGTTTTGTTTTGTTTTGTTTTTGACACAGGGTTTTTTGTAGCCTGGCTGGCCTAGAATACAGAGATCCACCTGCCTCTGCCTCCCCCAAGTGCTGGGATTGACTAAAGGTGTGCACCACCACTGCCCAGCTAGGGGGAAAAAAAAACTTAATTAAAGGTAACTCCTTGAACTTTGGTGCTGTGTGTGTGTGTACATACATACATACATATATATATACACACACATGCCATCATCCTTGACATTCCAGAGGTCAAAGTAGAAGTACCTGAGGGTGAGGCCCTGGCTCAAGAAAAAGAATAGGTTTTGGATACTGCTTGAAAACAACATTTTAAGCTCCCGCTCCCCCCCATTGAGATGAGCTACTCTGGAAGTCTAAACCAAAGTGGCTAAAAACTCAGAACCCCTGCCCAAGCCTTTGGAATACTGGGATCAGACATGGAAACTGAGCATGCCTACTTTTTTAAAAAAATACATTGTAAATTTTTTGTTCTTATTTTTATCCTTAAAAAAATGTGTTTTAGAAAAGAGAAATGTTTTAGTCAGGTGTGGTGGTGCATGCCATTAATCCCAGCACTTGGAAGGCAGAAGCAGGTGGATCTCTTGAGTTGGAAGCCAGCCTGGTCTACAAAGAATTCCAGCACAGCCAGGGCTACACAGAAAAACCTTGTCTTGAAAAACAAAATGTTTTTTCTGTGTATGAGCGTATGGGCTGCCCTGCAGGCGTGGATGTGTACCACAACTCAGCTCATCCTATTCCCAGCTCCCCTTAGCGCCCCTCCCCCTGCCGCCACTCATATCTAATTTACATTCAGAAACTGAGATTGACTGATTGACACTACCAGTAGTGGGGGAAGAATTATGTTGAAAATTACCAAGCTGTGGCTGTGGTGTCTCACAGCTGTAACCCTAACTTTAGGAGGCTGAGTGAGGGAAGAGGATCAGTCAGTTCAGGGTCATCCATGCTGGTCTGGGCTGGGCATGATGCTGCCCCCAAAGTAATCTGGTTCCCCAGAGAAGACAAAACATTAAAATAAAGGTATCCAGACAGAAGATTGTTGAGGTGGCCCAGAGGCTGAGGAGTAAGTTCCAAACAAGTTCATTGACAGTTTGCACACTTTAAATGCTGTCTCAAAAAAATGGAAAACAGCTGGAGATATATTCTTTCCTGGCATGGTTGTGTAAACCTGTATTCAGGCAGAGACAGGACTGAGTTTTGGCTTGCCTGGACTACCAAGGAGGACTTGTTTCAAAAGCCAAAATAAACAAAACCTAGCCAGACCAACCCCCAAAACTTGAATATCCAAAAGTGTGTGGGAGGGAATAGTTACTCCGCTTAGAATTGTTTCTGGTTTATTGTTACATCTTAAACACTATCATTATAATTTTGCAGGAGAGCGCCCTTATAAATGTGAACTTTGTCCTTACTCAAGTTCTCAGAAGACTCATCTGACTCGGCACATGCGCACTCACTCAGGTTGGTAAGAAATGGTGGCCTCCACCACGGCAGGAATCTGTAAACTACCTCTAATGGATCTGCTTTAGAACTGGAACCGAGTTCTTTATATCTGTTTTTGGAGGGTTTGGTTTTTGTATTTTCTTAGATGTGATCTTATTATTATGTAACTACTGCTGTCCTGGAATTCACAGAGATCTGCCTGCCTCTGCCTCAGAAGTGCTAGGATGAAAAGTGTGTGCCACCATGACCTCAGGCAGGTCCCCACCTTAAAAAATCAAAACCAAGCCAGGCATGGAGGTGCACGCCTTTAATCCCAGCAATCAGGAGGCAGGCTGATCTCTGATTTTGAGGCCAGCCTGGTCTACAAAGCGAGTCCAGGACAGCCAAGGCTACACAGAGAAACCCTGTGTCATCCCCCCTACTCCCCCCAAAAAAAGCAAAACTAAAATGGGAATGGGGAGGGTTGTCATAGGTCAGACTCCATGTGGTGGACGGAGAGAACCAGCTCCATTCAGGTGGCCTCTGACATCTTCACATCTCGTTTACCCTGATGCCTTAACACAAACATACATAAAATAAAAAGGTGAATGTTACTGGTGTTCTGGTACATGTTGTAATCCTGCCTCTTGTGATGTTGAGGCAGGAGGAAGGCTGAAACTCAAGCCAACCTAAACCATACTACCTAGGCAACATAGTGGGGTTAGCCTCAGAAAATCCAAAAGACCAAAAGTAAATGAAAGTTAGCCTGGAGCAGATAGTGCCATTTTTTGGCCGTGACTGAGTGTTAGTGAATACTTTTAGACAGAGTATTCTCTGTCCAGATTCAGAACGCATACCCTATAGGGCACGTATGCTAAGTTCTTGTTTGAGAAAATCAGTAGACCCGTCCCTGAAGAACATGATTACCTTAGATCTGTGCAGCACAGTGGTTATAGAGTTTATGGAAACATTGCTTGTTTGAATTGAGATAAATTGAGATAAACATGGGTTTATCTCATACAGGGCAGGGGATGTTTCCTGCCAAGCATGGTGAGGCCCTGCCTGGCCTGTTTCTAGTACCACTGTCACAAAACAAAACTTGTAGTAGTTAAAACAAAACAAAACAAAACAAAAAACATTAGCTAGGTATGATGTCGTGTGATCTCAGCATCTTGAGAGACCAGTGCAGGGGGATTACTGTGAGTCTGAGGCCAGTCTGGGCTATATACATAGCAAGACCTTGAAGAAACCAAATAGATACATGCATACTGGCTATTAAGTAGTAGGAAGAAAGAAGTGTACAATCTTTTTGTATACCTGTAATCCCAATACGTGGAAATGAAGTTTGAAGCTGATTTAGTACACACAGCAAGTTCCAGACCAGACAGGGCTCCCTCCATAGCAAGATCCTTTCTCAAATAAACCAAAATATTGTAGAGCTGTGCGTGATGGCACATGCCGTAATCTCCACTGAGGCGGGGGGGGGGGGGGGTTAGCCCCAGTAACAAGCAATACATTTGATGTAACCCATAGTTAATCATGTTGTTTTTTTTTTTTTTTTTAAAGATTTATTCATGAATATGAGAGGTCTGTCTTCATGTACCTATGCATGATAGAAGAGGGCATCGGATTTCATGGTTGTGAGCTACCATGTGGTTGTTGGGAATTGAACTCAGGATCTTTGGAAGAACAGTCAGTAGTGATCTTAACCACTGAGCCATCTCTCCAGACCAGATAATTTTTTAAAAACTATATTAACGTTTTTTTCCTTCCCACAACTCTTTCCAAACCATTCCCACACCCCTGTCCACACATCTTTATGTTCTTTCTCTCTCTTTCTGACTTACCCATGTTTACTTTTTACTTTTATTAGACTCTGTTTGGTTTTTTTAACCTTTTTAAAATTAATTAATTCAATTTACGTCATAGGCCCATTCCTTTTCTTCTCCAGTCCCACCCTCTCTGCTGTATTCCCCCACACAGAGGGTGGAAGTGGGTGCTGGATCCCATGGAGCTGGTAATATGCATAGAAAGTTTAAAGTTACATTACTAAGTTACAGTTTTCTTGTACATTGTTGCTTTGGCTCAGTAAATATTGTAAAGTGCTGACTCTGCTAAGCATTGGTCTCATCAGTGAGCTTCACTTCCAGACTGTTAGTGTTCTTCTTTCTTTGGCTGATCTGGAGCTCACGACATTATGCTCATGTCGATCAGGCTTGCCTCATACTCACAATTTCACCTGTTCTACCTCCCAACAGCTAGGACTAAAGGCCTGCTGCTGCACCATGCCCAGCCTTGCCAGGTTTTCTTTTGATCCTATATGCTTATGTTGATGTGCTTGGAGTGTTTTCTAAGCTAGTAAATTGGGCTACTGAAAAATGTTCCTACTTCTTAGGTGCTTCCTAATTTATTATTTAAGGTCAGTTAATGCAGCTTCAGGAGGGATTGATGTTCTGTAGTTCAATGTTCTTTAATAAACATTGAAGGGAGCCTGTAATCCCAGCACTTGGGAGGCAGACTGATGAAACTCTTTAGGCAAGCCTGGCCTACATAGAAATAAAAATAACAACAGATACAAGGGTGTGTTGGGGCGGGGGAGGATGTAGCTCAGTGTAGTGTGGCTTTGCAGCATGTCCAAGACCTGGGATCAATCCCTGTCCTCAGACAAGGGAAACGAGCGCTCTGAGGTAACTTTTTTTTTTTTTTTGGCTTTTAATTATAATGTGTAGATTTTAGGTATTGAAAACATACAGCTCTTTTTCTCTGTAGCATGTCTCCCTTCTGGCTGTCTGCTTTCATGTTGCAACATTTGATTTTTTTATTCCTGGAAGTTAATTAAATATAAGTGCTTGATGATATTTACCCCATGATGTAGCTTATTTGAAGTCACATGTAGCTGACACATTATTTATGATGATGGATCATCACTAGTTTAGAATGACTCCTTAGATTTATTCTTGCATTGACTGAGCAGTGTTCAAATGTTTATCTGTGTCATTTTACCGTAATTAGTAATCTTTGCCTTTTATTTGGATTTGCTAAATGTCTGGAGTTTTGCTTGCAGTGTTTTAAAACATAGTTATCAATTATTATACTATGGTGAGTATTTTTAATACATACTGGCTGTTGTATACATGCAGGATACTGAGAATTAAAAACTTGTTAATGGGAAGATGCCAGTCTTAGAGACACATGCTTAGGGAGGATACATAAGGATAAGTCTCTCAAAATGAGAAGTTAGAATTTTTATTCCCAAGGTGGGCATTGGTGGAGCACACCTTTAATCCCAGCACTTGGGAGTTAGAGGCATGTAGATCTCTGTGAGTTCCAGGACAGCCAAAGCTACACAGAGAAGCCCTGACTCACCACCCTCCCCCCATTTTTTTTTTTTTTTTTTTTGTAGTTCTCAAACTTTTACTCTATTAACCGTATCTAAACAAAATTATAGTTCATGGGGAGAAGGATATTAGTCTATCTATCTACTGTATCGATCAGTTGTAGGGTGCACAGATGTTTGTGTCTATTCTTTGATCTTTATTTCTTTATAAAACAGCTGAGTGGTGGTGGTGTGCACATGGGCCTTTTGCTTGGTGCTCTGGAGGCAGGTGCAGGCAGATCCCTGAGTTCAAGGCCAGCCTGGTCTGCAGAGTGAGTTCCAGAATCGACAGTGGTACACAGAGAAACCCTGTCTTAAAAAACAGCAACAAAAAACCAAAAAATGACAAAAAACACCCTTAGCAATACATGTTTACCAGTGCTGGAAACTGACAGATCCACTTGCCTCTGCCTCCCAGAGTGTTGGGAGTACAGATGTGTGCCACTGGGCCAGCTCTACAGTGTCTTTTTTGTTTGTTTTTGTTTTTGAGATAGGGTTTCTCAGTGTAGCAGTACCAATTTTTAAACTCCTCGTTAATTTATTGAGTATGTGTGGATATGCATTCAGGGCTTTCACGTGGAAACCTCACAAGAACAGCTTGTGAGAGTTGTGTCCTGCTTTCACCCACGTGGGCTTTTTCACCAAGCTACTTAAGGCTTGGCAAGAAGTACCTTACTAAAAAAACTGTTGTTTAAGGGTGTTGGGATTACGTAGCTGGGTGAGGTGGCACATACCTGTAATCCCAGCACTTTAGGAGGCAGAGAGAGGCAGGTATATCTCTGTGAGTTTGAGGCCAGCCTAGTCAATAAAACAAGAGTCCAGGACAGCCAAGGGTACACAGAGAAACCCTGTCTGTCAAAAAAAAGCAAAGTAAAAAAAAAAGTTGGGATTACAGGTGTGCAATTCCACCATGCCTAGTTTCATTTTGGGACAGAGGAGTGAATCTAAGTATTTTGTTTTGAAGACAGGGTCTCAAGGCTGGCCTCTTTAAGGTAGCTTGGAAGTGATCTTGAAATTTTTAGGCAAGTAACACCAGGCCTGGCCTTTCTGCTGTTTTGTCCATACTGAAAGCTACCAATTCGTTTAAGTGAACAATTACAGGATCATGTATATTGTATGTTTGTTTGCTTTCTTTGTTAACCGTTTCTTACTTATGAGATTATTGCTCCCAAGACAGCGTTTTGTTAAGGCTGGAGAGATGGATTAGTGGTTGGGAGCACCAGAGATCCTGAGTTCAGTTCCCAGCAACCACATGGTGGCTCACAACCATCTATAGTGTGATCTGATGCCTTCTTCTGGCATGCAGGTGAACATGCAGAGAGCATGTAAAAAAAACAAATAAAACTAAAAAAGTCTTCAAGGTCTCAGAGCAAGCAGTGTAGAGCTCATTTGCTTTTCCTGACAGTCTAACTGTAGAAAGGATTTTTTTTTGTTTATTAGATATTGTTTTTTTAATAGAATTAAAATATTTTTATTTTATTACAGTTTATTCACTTTGTATCCCAGCTGTAGCCCCCTTCCCATCCCCTCCCAATTCCATCCTCCCTCTCTTCTCCTGTGCCCCTTGTAGAAAGGATTTTTACCACTAGGCCACCTGTCTGCATCCATGCTGTCTGTCTGTTAAGTAAGAGCATTCATTACTGGTGAGGACACTGTAGGGCCAAGTGTACAGGAAGGAAGGTGTGTGCTGTAGAAACCTCCCACAACCTTTCTGCAGATTTTGGGTCAAGCCCAGGGCCCTGCGTTTGCCAGGCCTTTCCCCTGACTTACATTCATAGGCTTTATTTTTTCATTTTTTAAAACATTTTAAAGATAGGCTCTTGCAGTTACCTATCGTGGCCCCAAATATAGTGGTTCTCTTGTCTTAGCCTCTTGAGTGGCAGGGATTACAGGTATGTGCTACCATGCCTGGCTGAAACTCTTGAATTTTAACATGGAAAGAATTTGTTCCATTTACCTACCTACTTAATTTGATAAACCTGGGTACTGTTTTGGGTAATTTAGAATTCTTTCAACAGACATTTCTAGTGCTGTAATCTATATTGTCGTAGTTAAGCTTAATGTCTAATTGTTCTTAAGGAAAACTTGGGATACTAATAAATGAGGATGTTTGAAAGATTAATTTTCATGAATGTCAATTTCCATTTCTCTGTTATGCATTCCACTGGACCGGTGGGGTATGGATACCAATTGGTAATATTTACTAGAGTGTGATCTAGTTGGGTATGTATTCAGGTAGATTTTTTTCTTAATGCTTGTGATTTTGGGGTGGGTGGGCTCTGGCTTTCTGTGTGTCTGATTCTGACTGTCTGCTTGTGTTACATACCGTATTTTTGTGTTTGTATGCCAGTGTTCATTTAGTTTCTTTGTCCATTTTTTTTTTAATGGAGAAGTTGAGATACTAAAAAGAAGTCACTGTAAGTTGTCTAGTTGACTTCAGCCACATTTTTGCTTTAAAACACTCTGCTATTAGAAAAACTTGCTGACTACAGCTTTCCTAGCCTTGCTGTGATGGGTAAAGATTAGATTTACTTCCTCAGGCTAAAGCAGAGCCGTAAAACAGACCTACAGCCTGTGACTGTAGCTCAAAGCTATAGATTCCACTCCCAGGTTTCCCTTAACAAATGTGTGTGCTTTAGAGTGTGTTACATCTTACTTTTGTATAAAGATTCTAGAGGATGAGGAGCAAAAACTTAAAAACATTTTTTTTCTCCTGGAGTGGCTTTGTCTCAGAGTTAGCTTCCAGAGGACTGTGCTAGCACTTTCTGTCCCACCTGAGCCTGGTCTTCACAAGTGCCAGGAAGGTGACTTAATAAATGTTTTGAAGATAATGGTTGACTGAGTTGATTATTCCTCCAATTTATTTTGAGAATAAAGCCTCCAGCCCAGATTAGCTATACAAATAAATATGGAAAGTCCAGATGCATGATAAGTCTTTACACTAAGTGGTCGTTGTGTTTATATTTTATTTATAGCTCCTAAGGGTGTTTTAATGTTGGGTTTGTGTATATTATCTATGGTAACATCTCATCTTTACCTTTAGGTGAGAAGCCATTTAAATGTGATCAGTGCAGTTATGTGGCCTCTAATCAGCATGAAGTGACCCGGCATGCAAGACAGGTTCACAATGGGCCTAAACCTCTTAATTGCCCTCACTGTGACTACAAAACAGCAGATAGAAGCAACTTCAAAAAGCACGTAGAGCTGCATGTTAACCCAAGGCAGTTCAACTGCCCCGTGTGTGACTACGCAGCTTCCAAGAAGTGTAATCTACAATATCATTTCAAATCTAAGCATCCTACCTGTCCCAGCAAAACAATGGATGTCTCCAAAGTGAAACTAAAGAAAACCAAAAAGAGGGAGGCTGACTTGCATAGTAATACCATCACCAATGAAAAGACAGAGACAGAGCAGACAAAAACAAAGGGGGACGTGTCTGGAAAGAAAAATGAGAAACCTGTAAAAGTAGAGAGAAAAGATGTTTCAAAAGAGAAGAAGGCTTGTAGCAGTGTCCCAGTGGTCCAGGTGACCACCAGAACTCGGAAATCAGCGACGGAGACTAAAGCAGCAGAGACGAAACATGTAGATGTGCATACAGGAGATAATTCAGAAAAGTCCTGTAAAGGCAAGAAAAACAAAAGAAAGATGGATGCTGAAGCCCAGTCTTCAGACAGTCCCGTGAATGAGGAACCAGTGACAAAAAAGAAAAAAAAGATAGAAAGCAAATCCAAAAATAGTACCGAAGTGCCAAAGGGTGACAGCAGAATGGAGGAGAGTAAGGGGGACAATAAGAAGCAAAATGCCTCCACTAAGAAAAGTGCAAAGAAGAAAACTCTAAAAAGTAAATCAAGTAAGAAAGGCAGCAAACCTGCGCAGTCAGAGCCCCCTGCCAGCGAGCTGGATCAGGTGTCTCCAGTTCCCGAGCTCACTCTGACAGGATCTACTCAGACGGAGCTTCCTTCTCCCATGGATATTGCTCAGACAGGACCTGCTCATGTGGAGGATTCCCAGACAGGGCCTCCGCAGGTGGAGCCTCCTCCTCCCACCGAGCCTGCTGAGGTGGAGCTGCCATCTCCCGTGGAGCCTCCACAGCACGTGGAGCCTCCCCAGAGGGAACCAGCTCCTCCCTTGGAGCTGCACCAGGTGGAGCCCCCTGTCATGGGGCCTCCCGAAGTGGAGCTACCCTCTCCCATGGAGCTGCCTCAGGTGGAGCCACCACCTTCCATGGAGCATTGTCAGAAAGAGCTGCCTTCTCCTATGGAGCATGCTCAGACTGAGGTTACCCAGACGGTTTCTACTCATGTGTCTGTTCAGAAGGAGCCTCCTCCTGTCATGGAGCCATCTCTTCAAGTCAAGCCAATTACCAAAAGGTCATCTCCCCGAAAAGAGTACACAGAGGAGAAGTCGGATGTGCAGAATGAGGTGGTGCGGCAGGAGCAGGTCCTTATTGAGGTTGGCTTAGTGCCTGTTAGAGACAGCCAGCTTCTGAAGGAAAGCAAGAGCGCACAGGATCTTCCAGCCCCACCACCGCCACCGCCAAAGGGAAACTCACAAGAAGAGACACCTGACAACCGAAAGCCAGTCTCTGATGGAGAAGGAAATAAAATAGCCCCTCTCAAGAAAGTAGGAACAGAGGAAGCCGCTGAGGGTTTAGCTGAGCTTGCTGCTACCAACGAGTCTACCAGTGTTTCATCCTCTGAACACTCGAACGCAACAGGTGGTGAAGCACTGCAGGCCAAGGGTCAGGCCGACTCCACTGGAGTCTGTGAAATGGAAGTGTCTGCTGAGCAGAACATAGTAGACAGTGTCCCTGTGAAAGATGCAGTTGAGCCGGTGTCAGCTCTTACCCCACCAGCAGACCGTGAAACAGAATCACCACCGATCACTTTGGCCGAAAACGAGTCTCAGGAAATTGATGAAGATGAAGGCATCCATAGCCATGATGGAAGTGACCTGAGTGACAACATGTCGGAGGGCAGTGATGATTCTGGGTTACATGGGGCTCGGCCAGTGCCACAAGAAGCTAGTTCAAAAGCTGGAAAGGAAGGGTTGCCAGTTAAAGTCTGTATTTTCTGTGACCGTTCTTTCAGAAAGGAAAAAGATTATAGCAAACACCTCAATCGCCATTTGGTTAATGTATACTTCCTGGAAAAAGCAGCTGAGGGGCAGGAGTAGTTCAGCCGTGGACGAAGTGCAGTTCACAGTTAATGAGCGTGCATCTACTTTTTGTTTGTGACAGTAGACAAACTTAACTTGCTTTAATTAGTGTTGAGTGCTGATTTTTAAGTGACGTTCTTTTTCTCTATGTCTATAGTGATTGTTGCATACATTTTAGCAAATCCTAGGAGTCAGTATAAGAAAATGTACCTAAATCTGTTAGCTTGGGCAGTCAGGTGAAAGAGAAGGGCAAGATGGTAGAACATGCTTTCGTGGGTTGTCCACCTATCAGTTTTTTCCTGTCTTTTTCACTTTACTTCCTATTTTCACTTCCTTGTTTAGATTGATAAAAATTGGCTTAGCAAATTACTTGAAGAATTTGCCTGCTTCATATAAATAAAGTTAGCACTTTACAGTTTCTTTAGAGATGAGAAAAGACATTTAAATTGAAGAAAAATCCTCAACAGTGGACATTGTATCTCTCCAGGTAATTGCTTCCTGATTTACTCTGATATTCTGTGTTTCTATGTTAATCGGATAAAGTGCTGTTTTGGTGTTTGTTGTTTCGGGGCTTTGCTGGCGGAAGATTGCACATGTTTTTTCTTTTTTTTAACCTATGCAGTTAATCCCTCCCCAGCGAATTGTGTTAAATAGTAACACTTTATACATATATATGCATGGTTTTTGTTTTTGCTTTTTCTCTTTTTTGGAGGGATGCTTTTAGGCCTGTTTGCAAAAGGGTTGTTTTCCCTTTTTGCTGCAATTATTTTGTAGAACAATAGTGTGTGTAAGTTTATGAACAATGGAACATGCAGGTTCAATCCATTGTCTTTTTTTTTTTTTTTTCTTTTTCTTTTTTAAGTTTAATTTTCACCTCTTATCTATGCCGGAATTCGTTTCATATAAGTTATTTTGAATGGTGAGCATATGTGTAATTTCACAGCTCTTCAGTCTGATTTTTGCAGTAAGCCACTAGATCGCTATTGAACAAAATTTAATCTCAAATATCAGCCACAAGAGTTATTTTTGCTGTTTTTAAAAAGCTTATTTCTTTCAGAGTGATAAATTGTCCTTTGAACCATAGTTTATTTTCAGTAGATGGTTGGTGTTGGGATGGCTACTCAACCGAGTAGAGAACTCCAAGTGATATTTGGAAGCCACAAACCTGGATCCAGATACAGCCATCCTTCAAATCTAGAGTATCACTTGTGAGAAGAAGCCATTGTCACTTGGCTAATCTAGAATGGAAGCAACCAGCCGCATCTTCCTTCCAGAGAGTGCCTGAAAAAGGCTGATGTTAATTAAGTACAGTTCAGATTTTTAAGAATCATACTTTCTCAGGGATCACCACAAACAAGTGGGTGTCCTCACTGTCCCTGTGAGACCGCCTCTGTACAGGTGAGGCCTCTAGTGAATTGTAGCTACCCCGGTGTTCCTCTGGGGATGCTGTAGAGAAACTGCATGTGCCCCAGATCCGGTTCCCTGTGCTCTTTGGCTGTTGCCAGAGTTATGAAAGAGCCCAACATGGGTTTTTTCTTACTGGTAGTAGTGAATTAAGTATGATCCCAGTTGGGAATTGTGACATTTTGATGCTCATGTTCTGTTTTGAAATAACCTGAGTATTTCATTTATTTTCTTTAACCTGGCGATCTCTGAGCAGGCTTCAGATTTTGACAGTTCATGAAAGATACGACAAGCATTAATGTATGGATGAAAAAAGCTTGGTGAAATTCTGAGTGAAGTTTTACTTAAAGTTGGTTGAACTTGGAATTGACTGGGAGGCCAAAGATTTAAAAAGCAGATTCTCTCAAGACATAAGTTGTGTGATTATAGTGTGTGTGTTGTGTGTGCATGCGAATTTGTAAATGTTGAATTCTAGGCTCCGACAATCATTGTCAGTGCAGATCAAGCTGCAAGTATTTATGTTTTAAAACTTAAATTATAAAGCTAGTTACGTCTTTCTAATGACTAGTTTTAATGTTCATGAGCACATTTTACCTACATTGTCTTTTCAAGATGTTGAAAAAGATGCATCCCAAGTGAGGCTGGGGGCTAGTTGGTTCTGAGAAAGAGGTCTTTGTGGATTCTTTGATACAGCAAAGGAAAACAATTCCTTTTGGGAATTGAACTGTTTTAATCTGTTCTTTAAGATTAGAAATTTAAAAAACAAAAATATAAAGGAAATTAAGACCTCATTAAATTGATCTTTAAAAACAAGATTTTGTTACCTGAGTACATTGTTAATTGAGTGAGACTTTTTTGAGATTGTTCTTCCAGAAAACAAGGACTTGGTTGTCACGCCTATATTAGGCTTGGCCCTTGGTGCCATGTATTTGTACTTAGAATTGTTTCAATGGAAAGAGTCTTTAATGATTGAAACTTGTAGTACAATTGGGGGTTCTTCCATTTGAAAAATGTGATATTTGCATGGGATTGTTTGGATCTTGTTTTCTAATCTCCCCCTCCCAGTCACCACCCTCATAGTCTAGTCTGAAGGTAGGTTTTTCTCTTGATAAAGGAACAAAAATATGAACATCTTACTTGTAAATTGATAGCTAGTAACTAGTGGTAAACTTGAAATGGTAGAATTCTTTACAGCCTGGTCCTAGGTAGACTTAGGAAAATGTATCTTAATTATTTTTGAACCTGTATTCACTTTGTCTTTTCAGAATACCTTAAGTTATATTTTCTTTTTCAGAGCTGCTTATTTTGGGGCTACTTTTTTTAAAATTGTAATTGAGGCGTAATTCATAAAAGGCTACATTGTTTTGATAAGACTTTTTTTTACAACTGTGGCTGGATGTCTTTCTCGTCTTCCAAGAAGGGCCATTTTGCTTTCTTTAGATTTACTTTTATAGTCATGAGGTCATCAACTTGGGCTACTTTGCATGAAAGTGCTAATGCAAAGTAAAATCCAAGCTGTCCTCATGCAGTTCACTCTATGAATATTGACAGCAGAAGGAACAGCTTGTCTGTTAGTGTACTGTTACTTGTAAACTAAAACACTGACGAAACTCCATTTTCTTTACAAAAATCAAGGTATATTCTTAAGGTTTCCTGGTCGACCTCAGCAGATGAAGTGAGCTGATAGTCTTAGAATGATCTTAAGTGTACTTACAGTCTACTTGTACAGCTGGTGAGATGGCTTCTACAGTTCTACCTGTAGTCCATAGGCTCCCATTAGTTACTGAATTCTTAAAACTGGTATTGTAACATTACAACAATGTTTTGCGCCAATTTTATAAACCTTTACAGTGCAATATGTGTTACTTTTCTGAGGCAAACCAAAGGTATATTTCTCAAGGTTCTGCTGCCTTCAGCAGCATTTGATGGAAGATCTTTTATACATTTGTAATAGGTAGAAATAAACCAGATTGCAGTTTTTGGTTTTATTTGTTTTTTTTTTTTTGTTTGTTTGTTTTGTTTTGTTTTTTAAATTGTATACCATGTACCACATTTCTGGACAAGATTGTGTAGGATAAGTTAAACATAATTGCATTCTATTAACCAATATGAGTGTATTTCTTATGCATATAGTTACATTAAAATAAAGTTCTAAAACGTATTAGACCTCTTTATTGTCGGTGTATCAAAGAAGCCAAGATCACTTTATTTTCTGTTAGTATATTGAATCTTGATATTCTCTGTGTTTCAGTGCTGAGATCAAACCCGGGTTCTGTGCATTGCAGTCACGGGCTCCGTCACTGAGTTTCGTTTCCACCAATAGTGTGTTTGAAAAATGTCTGAGGTTAGCGGTTGAGATGTTATGGATAGTAACAGCATGGATAGTAGGGTCCTGGCGCTTCTAGAGTTAGGAGTGTCACTGAAGTGTTATGGTATCACAGTGAGAAATCGCTCCAAAGCATGGAGCGATTAATAGAGGAAGAGTTCTTTAATGATGGTGCAAACTGGTTCTGGCTATTGATGGTAAGAACTGACCCTGAACAGAGATTATAGTATGTGAGGCTGAGCTAAAGTACTGCTGTTATACATGTGTTTCCTTGTGCAAATCTTGTAGGTTCCAAACACTTTGAGCAATTAAACATGCTTTACAGACACAGTGCAAGTTTGGTTGTTTTGGGGACAAATGGGGAACACATATACTGTCACAGTTAATCTGGAGACAGACACAGCTGTGTTTTCTGGGTCATCCTGCCTCCTGGGGCAGAAGAAACTGCTGATTAGAGGCGGGGTTTAATGAGTGCTTGTCAGCCAGTGCAATCTTCTAAGCTGCCTGGTGGAGTCACGCTCCTTTGATAAGGGATAAGAACCTAATTGGAAGTTGTAAGCAGCCAGGGTCACCTCTTTTGAGCTGCCCTTTAGAGGCTGTGCTCCTTCAGCTGAATTCTGTGCAACAGTTGTTTCATTTTTCCCTTCACCAGGGGTGTCTTAGCAGTACATTGGATAGCACCCCAAGGCTTCTCTTCAAGTGGAAAGGTTGGAGAGAAACTGTCAGCTGACTCGGATTTACTCAGTGGTTTCTTTACAGTTTAATGGCCTAAGGTGTGCATATCCTTTTATACAGTGGCTCTGATTGGTTGTTGGGAAAAGGTTGCTGAAGGGAGGATGAACTGTAAGTGTTCACTTAAGCTACTTTTAAAGATTTATATATACTTAATAGGGCTTGTGAAATAATTATTCTAGAAGGCTTTCTGTGTCCTGGCTAGTTCCCCAGTAATTGCACACAGACCTATTGGCTTATTTAAAAAAAAAAGCTTTAAACACAATAACTGGGCAGAATAACTAATTTTCTAGGCTAGTCTGGATACCTCCCAGCTGCACTCACCAAGTTACTTGCCAAGTATTTGTCCTGTCGGAGCTGGATCAGCTCCAAGTTCTTCATTCTCTTTCTCCCCTCTCTGCCTCTCTGTCTCACCTCAAGCTCTAGAACCAAAAGGCTGTCCAACCTCTTTTATTTAACCAGTCAGAGAATATTGGGGAGCAAAGTTTGTACAACAAACACCAGTGTGTATGAGGAAGGTGCATGTGAGGAGACACTTGTCTGGACTGCTACCTGATCTTGGGGCTCAGAATCTAGTATTTGTGTAGGACCAGACCAGTCCCCAACACTCCTCTCATCCTTTTTGTTTAAATAAAATTTTTTACAGTAATCTACATAAAGAACAATTGTGAAATCTGTCATGTAATTACATTAGAATTGGCATTACAGACAATTGTGAGCTGCCATGTGGGTGCTGGGAATTGAACCCGGATCCTTTGTCTTAACCACTGAGCCATCTCTCCAGCCTCCAAATCATTTTCAATAGTAGCTTCTCATTTAGCAAATGTAAGTTTTTTTTTTTTTTTTTTTTTAGATCTAAGAAATTTTAAAAACACTTTAAAATTCTAAATCACTGAAGTTTAATTGTGAGACTGTCTAGTCTTCAACCCCATCAGAGACCTGAGAAGGAATAAGTATTACCTGAGTTTGTAGGAAGTGCCGAGCGAACCGCTTCCTAAGATTACAAAAAATGACAGAGGTGACCTATACAGTCACCCAAGTTTCTCAGCAACTGTTGGAGCATCAGCCTTCTGCCCCAAAATATGACAGGTTTTTTTTTTTTTTTTTTTTTGTGAAACCATGTCATCCGTGTCCTCCCCCACCCCAGGGGACTGCACTGTAAGCAGTTGAAGCAAGGGCAGTTTTTTGCAGAGTGGCAGCCTGCCACACCATAAGCAAACTCCATAAGATTATCTGATGCTCATCATTGAGGTAGGCTGGACTGTTGTCCCGAGCTGACATGTCTCAAAAGAGACCTTAAAATAACATCTTCAAATGCTATATTCTGTAGGTCTCAGGTTTTTCAAGAGCATTGATAGCATAACTGAACAGGCTTGTTTCTAGCTACTTACTGTCTGTTCCATGTCCCATCTAGGAAGTACATTTCTGTAATTAACCAGACTAGATTCTAACATGACCATGAGTTTGATTGACTTAATTTGCATTACTTGGTTATCCCAAACAGTTGGTAATAGCTTTTAAAAGGACTAGAACTTCACATTGCATTTTAAAATGACTTGCATAGGCACAGTACCTTATACAAGAGCTGAAACATACAATCATTATGTGTAAAGATAACTTTAAATTTGTATCAATATGCAGTAATCCAAGCTGATGTAAACCTTAAGCCTGTATCAAACAACAGTCCACATCAATGTAAAAATACTTGAGAATAGCAATAGCTCTACAGTTTAAGAGATTAAAAGGATGCCTGGCAACGCATGCCTTTAATCCCAGCCCTTGAGGCAGAGGCAGGGGAATCTCTGAGTTTGAGGCTAGCCTGGCCTACACAGAGAAACCTTGTCTTGGAAAACAAACCAAAACAAAAGGATCAAAACCTGAGTTTAATTTCCTATACCTTGTTTTCTTCCCGACCAAAGCCATAACATTTTCCAAACAACACCCTTTTAATGACGAGTATTTATGAGCATCCATCACATGACCAAAATTCACCCTACCTCTCAGGAATGAAGACGTGTTCTCTTTTAAGATTTCGTCCTGGTGTTTTGGGTGATGTTATTTTGGGGTCCCTGTGAAAATTGGAATAATCTAATCTTTTCTGGGGCAGGGGGTGGTTTGAGAACGGGTTTCTCTATAGCCTTGGCTGTCTGCAAAACTGAGTGATCTGCCTGCCTCTGCCTTTGTGAGTTCTGGGATTAAAAATGCACCCCACCACACCCGGCTGATGATGTCAATCTCTCCTTATGGCTGCTACCTGAGACCCCAATCCTGGGATCCAAAGCTCTACTTCTCTTTGGCCCAGTAACAGGCTGTCTACCCTCTTTATTTAATCAGTGAAAATGGGGAGCAAAGCTTACATTACAAATATGTGTATGTGAGAAAGTGCTCATGTGGACTGCAACTAGATCTTGGGGCCCAGAATTCAGCATTTGTATATACATACTACCAGACCAGCCCCCAACAAGGGCTGAAGAGAGAACAGTATTCAGTATCCTATGATTGAGTATTGCAATTCCCATAATGCAAACAGTAGACTCGTTAGAGAAGTTTTAGGTGCTGTCTGTAGCATAGAGGGGAGAGTTGGGAAAAATGGTGCTTCCTCAGTCTGAGACCTGATAGCATGAGAAAAGAATATTTCTATAAATTCACACGAATAATATATAGTTTTGAGACAGGGTTTCTGTGTGTAGCCTTGGGCATCCTGGACTCACTTTGTAAACCAGGCTGGCCTCGGACTCACTGCGATCCACCTGCCTCTGCCTCTCCAGTGCTGGGATTACAGGTGTGCACCACCATGCTGGGCTTAAATGCCTCCTCAATAGCAACACACTATAATGTCCTTTCTTTCTCTTTCCGTTCTTTCTCTCTTTCCTTTTCTTTCCCTTCCTTCTTTCCTTTTTCCGTAGTGAGGTTAAGTGGGTGTGACAAGGGACAAGAAGCCGGTTGAGTGCTACAAAAGCAGGAATAGTTATTTAACAAGCTAAGTACAGAGTTGGGTTTCTGTGTTCCAAGCAAACATTAACAGTCACAGATTTGTGGGGCAAGGTGCTGCATGCTTGTGATCCCAGCAATCAGGAGGCTGCAGCAGAGTTGTGTGTGAAGCTGACTTCATCCTGGCTCTTTTTTGGTGGTGTCATCTTTTGGATTTTTGCATTTCACATTTCCTGTGCATCAAATTTGAGGACTGTTAAGACCTCAGCATCCATGTTGTGCTCTGTCCGTGGTACTTGGCAAGCTCTCCAACAATAAGGAAGATTTCCAGCAAGCAGGAAAGAAAGCACCAGCCATTTGAGGTTATCTGAGATGATGAAAGAGAAGTCCCACTGGGACACTTGTTTAGGTTTTGGGCTGCTTTGCTGAAGATGGGAAGGCTTCTGCACAGCATACATAGCTCTGTATGTCCCAGGCAGAATTGTATGAGATGGCAGTTGAAAAACCAAGAAGAAAGTTAAGTGGTAGTAGCAGAATTTCAAAAGGCCCCTGCCACCAAGCATGGTGACCTGAGTTAGACACTGGGACGCAACATGGTAAGAGAACTGGGTGCTGTGAGTTGTTCCTGACTTTAGGTGCGCACATGGACACACCTAGGATAGAAGATATCCAGCATCAACTTCTGGCTTTCATGTGTGTGCATCCACACACACATACCACATTAAGAAGGGGAGGGTGCTGGAGCGATGGCTCATTAGTTTAATAGCACTTGCTCTTACAGAGGACCCAGGCTCAACTCCTAGCACCCATGTGGCAACTTTTAACTAAGGGGATTTGATACCCTCTTATATAATCTGAGGGTACTGGACATATGGTGGACCCATATAGGCAAAAGACTTTTTTTTTTCTTCTTTTTTTTGGATACAGAGTTTTACTCTGGCTGGCTTTGAACTCGGCCTGCCTCTGCCTCCCTAGTGGTAGGTTAAACATTACCACCACACTCACAATAAACTTGAAAATACTTTTAAAAAGGTCGGGCTAGAGAACAGCCTCGGTGGTTAAGAAGACTTGCTACTCTTCCAGAAGACCCTCCTTTGGTTCCCGGCATCTCAGTCTTGTGACCCACATCCATAACTCCAGTACCCAGGGATCTGCTCCTTCTGTCCTCTACTGTGTCATAGATGTGGCATTCACTTATAGACACAGTGTTTATACCATGTAAGTGAAAATAGCTCTAATGGATATTAGAGCTAGAAATTCTGAGTTGGCTTGAAACGGGCTCCTTGATTTTGCTTACTGATCCTGGAAAGTTCCTTTCTCTCTCTCTCTCTCTCTCTCTCTTTTTTTTTTAATGTAACCACATTACTTTATTTATACTTGTATATCTGTGCACCACCAGTATGCCTGGGTGCTCTCAGAAGCCAGCATTGGAGTTGAAGTTAAATGGCGGTGTGCCACATGTGGGTGCTGATAATTGGGAATTGGACTTGTCCTCTGGAAGAACAGCAAATGCTATTAACCACTGAGCCATTTCTTCACCCACCTGTGGGCATTCCCAGCCCATTAGGGCTCAAGGCCTGGGGTGACTTCAGAAGTAGTCTGGCAGAGGGTGCTTGGCCTGCTGTTGGGGAGCCTGCCCAGAGACCACCAACCAGCGCCAAGTTTGGAGATGGTGTGGAGGAACCTGATTGGTCATTCAAAGGTAATAGAACATGCTCTCTTCCAGAATAAACAAAGATTGCATTCAGCGGACTCCCTGTGTCTGTGTGATGACTCCACATCTCTTACCCCTTTTGCCTGGATCCCCTGTCCTCACCCACGGGCTGGACCCTTGGGAGGAGGACCAATAACCCCCCTCATTTAAGTGGGAGTAATCTACATAGGCTTGTAAGTATGAATATATGAAAAGCACTTAAAATGCATGGCTCATTGTGCTAGTATAAGAATATGAACATAAGAGTGCACAGAAGGAGCTGGTGGGACGGCTTACTGGCTAATCACACTTGCTGCTCTTGCAGAGGACTTGAGTTCAGTTCCCAGCTCTTACATGGAGGTTCACAACTAATTTAGATATGGGATCTAGTGCCCTTTTCTGGCCTCCATGGTTACCAGCCATGTTCTTTACATATATACATGCAGGCAAAACACTTCATGCTTGTAAAAAACAGACAAGTACAAAGGTAGATATGTAAGGGCCATGATGATCATAGTACAACCTCTGAGCAGTATGGAAAGGAAGACATTCCAGAAGTCAGGATAAACACTACTAAGTCAACCAGTCGACTGTGGATATTTCTCAGAGAACACAATCAACCAATGAACCCACATTTCTACTCATTCATCTCCCATCCATTAGCTGTACTCTCCTTCACATGGACTTGGTGAAAGTTTAGGTATGATTTTGGCAGTCTTGCACCTCCAAATACTGTGACATGGTAATACATTCTCTAGCAAATCCAGTTGGTTTTTCATGGCCTCAGCTACTGGCCAGAAGCACTTGGAGTACAGTATCTGTGATCAGGCATTGTACCTTTGTTTTGAGACAGGCTGGTTTTGAACTTGTGGTCCTGCTACCTCTGCCTCTCAAGTGGTGGCACCATCATGCCTGGCTTTAGCATTGTAATTTTTCATCTGTTAGTAGGAACATGGAGGCCAAATATATTCTTCCGGACTGAGTACCCAGAAACTAAGTTCTGAGTTAATTAGGAAGTAAAAGGAAGCATCTGAAACCCAGGCGTTCAACAAGAGGAGTTCTGAAGAGAATCTGGATATATTTCAGAATATCAACTGATCTTGGATATGAAGGGGAAAGCTGAGGTGCAAACCCGTAAGATGTTCAAATGCCATGCCCTTCTCACTCAGGGCATCAATGGGGCAGAGCACATGGTGGGTGACCCTGAGAGCAGGTAGCGGTGTGAACAGTGGCCTGCGCTTTGACAGATAAGAAAACAGTACTGCTGAGAGGACAGCACCCAAGGAGGATGGTTCTATTGCTATGGCACAGTATTTGGCTGGAGAGAAATGATGGGAAGTGATCAGGGGACGAACATGGCCCACGCTAGACCTGCAGGAAGCCAGCGTCCCTCTCCAGTTCGAGTGTTTGATCAGGAAGCAGGCACATAGGATCAAGTCTGGCCTTTGCTTCCTTCTTGTCACCATAAGAAAGGAGTATGGCCAAGAATGCAAGCACATTTAGACGCTGGGAAACCACCTTAGAGTGGGATTGGTAGTGCTGCATTCAGGATGGATACACACACAATGTGCATTAGACGCTGGGAAACTAAAGTGGGGATTGGTAGCTGCACCCAGGATGGATAAACACACAATGTGCATTGCTGACATAGGTCCTTGCACTTTTTTCTTTTTTTGGATTTTCAAGACAGAGTTTCTCTGTGTAGCCTTGGCTGTCCTGGACTCACTCTGTAGACCAGTTTGGCCTCGAACTCACAAGAGATCTGCCTGTGTCTGCCTCCTTGAGTGCTGGGATTACAGGTGTGTTCCACTGCGCCTGGCTGGTTCTGATACTGTAATTCCTGTTCTTCCAGGATGTGAATGGCTGTCCTCTGCAATCATGTTCTGTTAGGGTCAACTCTGAAATGAAACTTCTGGGACAGGGAGCTAAAATAAATCTTTCCTCCTTTATGTAGTTTTTCTCGTTTGTTTTGATGACAGTGACTGTGAAATAATAGAGCAGTTAGCAGCTTGGATCCTTGGGTGACTTCATGAAAGGCAGCCACTGTATTCTGGAGGACTAAGTTACTTTGTTCACATCAATTACTAGGTTGCTTTGTTAACAATCAACTCCAAATAAAAGAAATGAAACCTGATCTCCATGAAAATCAGAAGGAAGTAAGCCTCTTATATACACTTGGACCACAGATATATATATACTAAGAAAAACTGGTTTTTAATTATAAACAATATATTATCAATATGCATAGCCTCAAGTAGTTAAAAAAACTGACTTTGTAAGATCTGTAAAAGTTTGTCTTTATTAATTTTGTATTTAATACATTTTCAACATATTTCAATACTGTTACTATCCAGTATGAATCCAGGTCTGTCTTACTTAGTTGGTTTCTTTAGATTGTATATCAGGGACGGAGGCTTCTTAGTTTTATAGGCCACACTTTTCTTGATGCGCTGTCCTTTGACGTTAACAATATATGGCAAGACTGGGGGCTGGACGGTCAGAGCAGTTCCTTCAGGTGTGTAACCTCGGAGATGCAGTGTGCCCTTAGAGTAAGGTGTTACTGCAACCCATCCTACGAGACATTCAAGAGAACACAAAACGCTCTAATTCACCATCTTAGGAAGTCAAATCAAGGCATACAAGACTGGGAGATGGCTCAGTAGGTGAAAGCACTTGTTATATAAGACTGGCAACCTCAGTTCAACTCCTGGAGCCCTCATGAAAAGCTAGATGAGGGACACGATAGATGGCTCAGTGGTTAAGAGTGTACTGCTCTTGAAGAGGACTCAAACACTGGGTGGCTCACAAATGAGATGTTATCTCCAGCTCTAAGGGAGCTGATGCCCTCTTCTGGCCTCTGTGGGGAGCTGCACTCATGTATACATACCACACACAAACACACATTAAAATAACTAGCTGGCGAGGCAGAGCACACCTTTAATCCTAGCACTTACAGGTAGAGGCAGGAGGATCTGTATGGGTTTAAAGTCAGTCTGGTGTACATAGAGAGTTCCAGGACAGCCAATCCATAAATGCTACCCAGTGAAACCATGTCACAAAAAACAATACCACAGATATGCTAGAACACACCTGGATATCCCCCCCCCCCCCCCCCCCCGTACTCTTTCAGGGAATTGTGAAGCAGAGAATTGGCTAGAAGCTTGAGGACTAGTTAGCCTGGAGTCATAAAAATAAAAGATTCAGCCTCAACAAGTTGGAAGGTAAGACCTGACACATACTAAGTAAAGTCCTTTGAAATATTACAATGAAAAAAACCATGTAATAGATCTGTGAAAAGTAAAAAGCCAATTTCAGAACAAGGTGTATTTTGCAATAATGGGTATTCCTTAGACGACGGCATGTGGGGGCTGGAGAGATGGCTCAGAGGTTCAGAGCACTGGCTGTCCTTCCAAAGGTCCTGAGTTCAATTTCCAGCAACCACATGGTGGCTCACAACCATCTATGATTGAGATCTGATGCCCTCTTCTGGCATGTAGGCATACATGCAGGCAGGATATTATATAAACAAATAAGTCTTTAAAAAGATAGCATGTTTCGAGTTATAATCCTTTGTCTTAAAAAAACAAAACAAAACAAAACAAAACAAAGCCCATTTACTTCTGTGTGTGTATGTAAAAATATTTTTATTTTGTGTCAGACTGCTGGATCCCTGGCTCTGGAGTTAGATATGGGTGCTGGGAGCAAACCCAGGCCCTTTGTTAGGCAGCCAGTGCTCTTCTTTAATTTTTTTTTTCCAAGACAGGGTCCTGGCTGTCTTGGAACTCATTTTGTCAACCAGGCCTTAATCCACCTGCTCCTGCCTCCCAAGTGCTGGGATAAAGGTGTGTATCATCACAGCAAGTACTCTTAACCACTTAGCTGTTAGGCAGGGTTTTACTCCTATCACAGGCTGGCTTAGCACTCCCTATGTAGGCACAGTGCTGGCCTTGCTCTTGAAGCAATCCTCCTGCTCTAGCTGAGTGATCTGGTTACAGATATGAGCTACCATATCTAGTTTATTTATGTTTTAACCTCCTTCAACCTCTTAAATGCTGGGATCTTGGGTGTCCCACCACAACCAGCTTCTTTCTCAATCAATAAATCAACCTATATCTCTATTTGTCTGTCTGTCTGTCTATCTATCCATCCATCTAATTAATTATTATTATTGTTACTTTTGGAGACATGTTTTCTCT